TTGGTCTCTCAAACTGGAATGCAAAAGACTAGCTCGATCCACAATTTTTGTTTCGAAACGTATAGTTTCCAATGAAGTGGAACTTCAAATTAATTCCAAGTTGATGATCCGAGTTGCTGCTTTATTTCCTCATAAAATATTATTCAGAAGCAGTCACATAAGAAAAAATAAACCTACTTCAGTGCCTTCTCACTGGGCTGTCTTTTCGGCCAAAATCATAGAACTGTTAAAATTATTAGTTATAAAAAGTGAAATATTTAAATTATTAAATTTGATTTGAATTTTAAATTTGCTGCAAAATCATTTTTTTCCTTTTCCTCCTGCTTAACTCCTTTTATATGACATTTGTTTCTTTCGAATAGTTTTAAAAAGTTAAAAAAACTTAGATACCATTAAAATGCCAAAAAATTAAAAAATTTCGAAAAAACCCTCCACAATCAATGAACTTCCACGAAAGATAAATTAAAATTTTTTTTCTTTTGACTTTAGCTAAAAAATTTATTTTCAATTGTTCTATTTTCGAAAGATTCAATTTTTTTAATTTTTATAAATTTAATACAAATTATGCAGTACAAATGAATAGAATTATTTGCTAGAAAGGCATTCGTTTGTACGATGAAATAGCTTTAAGGCAAATTTGCTGCTCTAAAAGTACGGAAAAATATTTCAATTTTATAAACGTGAAAACTGTTGCGAGTGCGATAATCATAATAAATGGTGGCTTTTTACGCTTTTCTGGGGTTTCTTTATAATCATTCATTAATTAATGTTTAATAATATTTTTTTTATTCAGTGTGGTTAAGGTAGTTTTAGGGTTTTTTGGCTATAATTGTGAAAATGAAAAATTTGAAAATTTGAAAAATTTTTCAGAGCAATAGTTTGGTTTCAAAAGAAAGAACCCTAAATTTTATTTTATTCTGAACATTGCAGCGCCCTTCCAAAATACCAAAAATTCGAGAAAAAGGAATAATTTCATTTTATTTACATTGAGGCGATCTCATTGCTGCATTAATAAGGACCAATACTTCACTTCCATTAACTGTGGGAGATGTGCGGGGTGAACGAGTGTAGGAGACAGCAATGATCCCGTATTCATGCGTTCATGTGGATTTTCCTTTTCCTTTTGAAATTTTGCGGAACGATTATTCAACAAATAAACCGTTTGGCTCGATTAAAATTTAAAGAAATGATTATGATTATATAAAAACGTTTCATGTGCATTAAAATGTATTCACAAATAATTAAATATTAAAATTGGTCGAATTTCCTAAATTAGAAAATTTATTTAAATTAATCCATAATGAATCTTGCAAATCTTTTTAATTAGAAATTTTTTGCTATCTTAATAAGATTTTTTGATTTTTTGTATATTTTTTTATTTTTATGTAAAATATTTTTATAATTATTTCCGCGATAGTAAGCATATAAATTATATAAATAATATATAAATATATTATAAATATATTATATTATATAAATATATATATTTTATAAAATATATAATATATAATATAATATAACATAATATAATGATATATAAATATATAATATAAAATATATAAATATATGTCGCTTAAATGGAACGACAAAATAGCGACGGCACGAGGCAATAGAGATATATGAGCGACAGTGAGCATATGACTGTTTCTAAAATTTAATCCCCTCAAATCCAAAGTTTGAACTAGAAAAGAGGAATTTAGGGGAACTTGGTAGTGTTGTCGAGCTTTCTTTAGATTTCTTCTCTCATTTGTAAGATATCTATAAATTAATAAATTAAACGATATCAACCTTCCATCCAACTTTTTTTCATATGACAATTTTATAAAAGCATAGATCTTTTAAATTGTATATTTAGAAAAATCAGAAGAAAATAATGATAAAAGTGATGGAAAGAAAAAGAAGGCACAGAAACTTCAACTATTTACCCTCAGAATGATCGTAAATGACTGCGGGAAGAGGAATCGTGCACGATTCTCTTCAGTTAAATTTTGGTTAACTGGCTTTAAATCCATTCTACTATAAATAAATATTTGCTAAATTGATAAATTATGAACGAAAGTTAACGAATATTTATGTTGTAATATTTATTGTTAATGATAACATTGCTATGTAGTTCCTTGTAGGTGCCTTTCGGTGATAATGATTTTTCTGATGTATAATTTTAAGGGTGCAAAGCAACGAGCTGTCTATACAATCCCCAAGAATTTTATAAATTCCCATCCTTCCATATTTTATAAAAATTTACTCATTGAGCTATTGCATGCATTGCAGCAAGGCGTCTTATTTTTGATGCAAACAAGATAACAAGTACAAAATAGACGTTTGAAGCAAGGAATCCGAGATTTTTGTAATTTTACTTAATTCATCTTTTGACAATGCGCATGGGTTGGCGATAAATTTCAATTTTAACTTTCTCGAATGGCGCTAAATCGAAGCAGATTTACACTTAAATCTGCTGAAATAAATAAAAGAATTCCAAGGAGCAGAATCTCTCATTATTTGATAAAAAATTACATTACATTGAGTAATCTCTTATCAGTTAATAAAACTTCTAATTCAAATTCCCACTTTCAAATGAAAGCTTTTTCTTATTAGCTAAGAAAGGAACCTCTCAATTCGTTATGATCTTATAAAAGATTTGAAACGAAGGGAAGCGCAGATTGCATAATAAAGTATGAAAAGCAGTTCGTCCAATATTTATGTAATGAAAAACAAACCGGTTGAATCATTCATTTTTAGTAAATGTTGAAGATATAGTTAGTGAAAAAATTTGAGAAAATGAGAGCAGCGAGATTGACAGAAAAATGATAACAAATAATTATTTTCATCGTTGAATGAAAAAAAATGTACTCTAACTTGTGAAAAAATTATAATGCAAATATAATGTAATTATTAGATTTGACATATTTTTTTGACACAGATTTTGACAGATTTGACAAAGGCTAATTTTTTTTAAGATGTAAAATTCTAAGAAGCCTCTCTTGCATTTCTTATTTTTCTTTCTAAATATTTAAACTTTATAAATTCTCTACATCACACATCTGAAAATGTAATAATAATCTCAGGAATCAGAAATTTCTCCGTGATAATCCATACGTCTAAAACCGAAGCTGCCGTAACCCATCACATCTCGTAATTCTCGCTGTTCACTCTAACTCTCTGGCGAATCGTTAACTCTTCCACAACCACAAAAATTTAATGCCTCAAGCAAATTTAACGACGGACGAAGACGACAATTTTAATCGAAATAAACATTACATGTCCACTAAACTATTCACATTTTTATTTTGGAATTTATTTTACATATAAAATAATTTCGTCGAACAAAAAATTATAAAGGAAAAACAAAAAAGAACGATACAAAAAAATTTTCAAATTCATTAATAAAAATTTCGTGTTAAAACAAATCGCATCTTGAGAATTCTCACAAAATCGTTTCCAACTGCGCCATTCAACACCTTTGAATGGTTTCAAAAAATATGCTATAATAAATTTCATTAAGAAAAAGAAAAATTTATGTAACGATTGAAAAAAGAACTTTTGAATTACGAACGATTAGCTTCATGAATGATAGCAGCAGCCGCAACTTGCACATTGGTTACAGCAAAACGAAAATAATTAACACGATATGAAATATTTTACGAAATTTATTATTTATATTAGATCGACGCTTTTAAATTATTTAGTTGTTAAATAAGAGATTTGGTAAGAAATTTCTAAGCCTTAATTCCCGGCGGCAAACATAAATTGCCGTAATCAATAAAATTGGAGGAGGAAAAATGTCTATCGGCAAAAACCGCTGCGAGTATATTTAAAGTTTCCCAATAAATTTATATTTAAAAAAATTAACGTTCAAATATAAATAAATAAAAATTAAAATTAAAATTTTTTTTGCTTTTGGCTTTTGCAGTTTATTTTCAAAGATCGATCCTCGAGGCACTAAATCTCATTTAATTTTTATAAATTTAATACAAATTCTGTAGTACAAATCAATTGAATTATTATTTGCTAGAAAGGCAGAAGTAATTTCATCCGTTTGAAATAGCGATGAAATAGCTTTAAGGCAAATTCGCTGCTTTATAAGTGCTGAACTATATTTCAATTTTATATATGTAGAGAACTGTTTCAAGTGCAAAAGATCGTCGAAATAAAGGGTGGTTTACACTTTCGTGAAGCTTTTTTATAATCATTTATTGAATAATGTTTAATAATATTTTTTTATTTATTTTTTATTTATTTATTTATTATACTTATTTATTATACTTGTTTGCATATAGTATGGCTTAGTTTTATGGCTTTTTGGCTATCACTATGGAGGTAAAAAAAAATTGACTGTAATAATTAGTAGAAAGAGCCATAATTTTATTTTATTCTGAATGCTGTAGCGTCCTTCAAAACACCAAATATTCGGTGGAAAGAAATGATTTCATTTTATTTACATAGAGTCAATTTCATTGCTGTATTAATAGGGACCCATATTTCTGTATTTCTATATTTATTCCATTGTTGTATTAATAGAGACTTCCATTAACGTCGTGAACTGTGGGAGATGAGTGGGGTTGAGGGAATATAGAATAGTTCCCTAATCATTTTCATAATCATGCTTTCATGTGGATTTTTCTCTTAAAAAATTTTTTTGTTGTAATAAAACTTGTAAATTGTATTCACAAATAGGGAAGTATTAAGGGAAAGGAAGTATTAACCAATTGATCGAATGCCTAAATTAATAAATTAATTTAAATGCTTATTTTATTTCGATTGTATAAAATATTTTTGCAATTATCCTAGCGACAGCAAGCATATGACAATTTTATAATTTATATTTTATATTTTATCAAATTTTACAAAATTTTATAAAATATGCCCAATCCAATTCTTTTAAAATGAAAAAATTGTAAAAATCAGGAGAAAATTATAAAAATGTTTATAATGACCTAAGCAATAATAATTTACAAATACCGAGAATTGTATGAGGGATAATATTCTTTTACATATTATAAATGACAAAACACATTTTGCAAGAAACTGCTGTGTTAGAGGTTAATTAACCCAATATAGCGCGTTCGTGGGGTGCAGTAAAGCAATTTGTTAAATAGATTATAGAAGCATTCTCAAGCAAATGTCGCTTAAATAGAACGACAAAAGAACGAGGCAATAGCGACAAAAGAGCGACGTTGAGTATAATAAAATTAATCCTCTTAAATCCAAAGTTTGGGTGTTGTCGAGGTTTCTTTAGGTTTCTTTACTCATTTGTAAGATATTTATAAGATTATATAATAATAATGGTATGTACGACTAAGTCGCAATGATGTGTAGGTTCCTTGTAGGTACCTTTCGGTGATAATGAATCCGATCCTTTTCGGCGGATTGGAAATCTTATGGTCGATTGGCTTCGTGGTTCTGTTGTCAATAGTATCAGCCTGGGAGGTCTTGAAACTGTAATTTCGCTTACAGCGATTTTTGATAGGCTCCTTTTTCGGGTTTACAGGTTTTTTTTACTAATTTTCGGTTGTTCAATAAAAATCACATAACTTTCTTTTTCATAATTTCTTTTTTGCTCTTCATTGACATTTCAGTATTGGTTCAATTTCAATATTCTGGCATAAGATTAATGTAAATTAATTAAATTTAAAGGAGTTCATGTTTTGCTGATAGTAGTGTTAGTGTGTTAAAATACTGGTATAATGATATAATTTGCCATTTGCGAAATATTTTTTCATCAAAAAAACTTATTCTAAAAAATTTGTCAATTATCGAAAAAATTTTATTTCGTTATATAAAAATTCAAAATTTGAATTTTTAGTTGTGAACTTTTTAAAACACTAGAAACTAATGATAAAGTTCAGTGGGTTTTTGGATAATTAAGTAACTAAAATTAAATGGATAACTAAAAAATTCAAACAATTATTGCAAAAGCAATTTCACACCAAAGATTGACAAAAAAAATGACAATAAATTATTTTTATCGTTGAATAAAAAAATGTGCTCAAACTTATGAAAAATGTATAATGCAAATATAATGTAAATGTCAGATTTGACATATTTTGAAATACTTGGTGAAATTTTAAGCAAAATGCAAAATGCACTCGGCATGGCCTTTGGTATCAATTCGAACCATCATGGGCTATCGCAGTGGAAGATTGCGTATCTCACCGTATCTCGAGCTGGTTGATTTCAAAGATCGATGAAGCATAACAAACCGATACCAGCATGAACAGAAATTTCAGAACCATTTCAATTTGTGGAGCGAGAGAAACGATATGCAGGAAAGTAAGGTGAATTTCACTATTGCTCGAGAAAAAATATAAAAAAGATTCATCTCAAACAGATGAAATTTCTAAAAATGCCTGTCTGATGAAGGAATAATATGAGACTGCGCTCGCTTGAAGCGTAGAATGTACCTCAGTAATGGTCAACTGCAGAATTTCAACTTGATAGCTTCCATTCCATTTCTGTATGTCGAGCAAAAAAATATATTATATTAGTAAATATTTGCGAGGATCAATCTCGCCAATAATCAATAGAACATTTATGAGTTAGAATAGAACTTGGCCAATGGAAAACGAAATAAATTGAATTGAAATATTTGCAAGAGAACTCTTCGGCCTCTGATGAGGGAAATTTAAAATTAATAAAAAGTAAATATCAGATTTTCATGTCGAAGAAAATGATCAACTGCTCGGGAATTCGAAAGTTTTTCGATCCTTTGCTTTATTACGTCATACGAGCTAAAAATTACAAATAAATCATTCCACATTATGCTAATAGTGGCCTCTTGATCTTCGCCTTCCATAAATACTTAAAAAGGACTTTTCGATCGTGGCGAAATTGATAAAGTTATCAAACTTATCAATTAGGAGGGAATTTATTGCAAGCTTTTTCGTAAAATTACAGAATTTTCTCCTTCTCCATAAACCCAATTAATTTTCTATTTTGCAAATTTATTTATTAAATGCTGAAACATAAATGAATCAACCGCTTTCGCTTTATTAATCGAAAATAATAAAATATTTTCGCGAGTTTCAGCAAAAATATTTATGGATTTTTGCATATTTCATCATTTATTAAGGAACTTTTCTAAGGAAATTTCCACTTTGATATTAAAATTTTCTTTTTATGATTGGCAAATAGAAAAATATTTCTCTTAAATAGAAAAATATTGTAAATATTTCTGAGTTGTATACTTACATATTTCATGTAATATAATGAAATGGTTAGAAAAGAAATAAAGTATTACTTACTAGAATGAAATATTTCCCAAATTTTTAAATTTTAGAATTTTTGAAAATTTTTATATTTTTTCTTCATCTTTTCTAACAGCACAGACCATTACTGTTTGCACTGTAATCGAGCTGACTACAAAGCTAAGAGGCTAAAGCAGACCCAACTCGCTCGATCCGATGCCATTTCCGAAACCAACAAAAGCCACTCATTTTTCCATCTAAGCGAATATCTTCAAAATTATCTTCTAATGTATTGATTGAAATCTTGATCAGTCCTCGTTTTGTTTTTTACACCATCCATCCAGCATGACCCAGCGAACTGCGCCATTTAATAATAATAAACCATAAAAAAAAAATTATTCAAAAAAAATGAACACCATAGTGAATTTTTTAATTATTGCAAATTATCTCAAGCAGAAAAGAAATTCGAAAAAATAGACCCTCTAAAAAAAAATTTATGAATAATAACTCTTGCAGTTATCAAATTCGAAATTTTATAAATTAGAATATGTAAAAAAAATTTGTGTGGAAAAATCGCACCATTGTTAACTTTTATATTTCTGATTATATTCCTTATTAACTTTTATATTTTAAAAAATATTTGATTTATTAAATTTGCTAAAAAAATTTTCTTATTATACTTCCTAGCATCTCCAATGGTCAAATATATTTAAATAAGGAAGCAACATTTTGTATTTTCCTATAATAAAAATTTGAGGAAAATTTTCTGTCTTCTTTCGAACAGACAAGATTCACAAATAAATAACGTGGTTGGTATTTATGGGAAATATCTTGTAATGTAATTCATATATGCACATGCAAGAGTCAAATAATTTAAGAATTACTATTTTGATTTGAAACATGTGTGAAATATTAAGACAAGCAACAAGAAATTTATAATATATAAGATTGACATTCCAATGGCGACAATGACATACTTGTACTATTATACTTGTTATATACTTATATACTTGTTATTATACTTGTATTATACTTGTTTACATATAGTACGGCTTAGTTTTATGTCTTTTTGGTTATCACTATGGAGGCAAAAAAAATTTGACTGTAATAATTAGTAGAAAGAGCCATAATTTTATTTTATTCTGAAGCTGTAGCGTCCTTCAAAACACCAAATATTCGGTGGAAAAGAATGATTTCATTTTATTTACATTGAGACGATTTCATTGCTGTATTAATAAGGGCCCATATTTCACTTCCATTAACGTCGTGAACTGTGGGAGATGAGCGGCGTTGAGCGAATATAGGATAATTCCCTAATCATTTTCATATTCACGCGTTCATGTGGACTTTTCTTCCGAAATGTTTTTTTTGTTGTAATAAAACTTCTAATTTGTATTCACACAAAATTAGTACTAATCAATTGATCGAATGCCTAAATTAATAAATTTCTGTAAATGCTTATTTTTGTTTCGATTGTATGAAATATTTTTGTAATTATTCTAGCGACAATAAGCATATGACAATTTTATAAAATATGCCCAATCCAATTCTTTTAAAATGAAAAAATTAGAAAAATCAGGAGAAAATTATAAAAATGATTATAATGACCTAAGCAGTGATAATTTAGAAATATTAAGAATTGTTATCCGTGTTATGAGGGATAATATTCTTTTACATATTATAAATGACAAAACACAAAAACACATTTTGCAAGAAAGTGCTGTGTTAGAGGTTAATTAACCCAATATAGTGCGTTCGTGGGGTGCAGTAAAGCAATTTGTTAAATAAATTATAGAAGCATTCTCAAGCAAATGTCGCTTAAATGGAACGACAAAAGAGCGGGGCAATAGCGACAAAAGAGCGAGGCAATAGCGACAAATGAGCGACATTAAGTATAAGACAATTTCTAAAATTTAATCCTCTCAAATTCATAGTTTGTGTGTCGCGCTTTCTTTAGGTTTCTTTACTCATTTATAAAATATTTATAAAATGATATAATGATATAGATATAATGACAATAATATTAACAACAAATATGTAATTATTTAATTAATTACGGTAAAATTAATCTATAACAATTCCGGCTTATACTTATAATACGGTACTTTACAATTATTCAACGGGTTATTGACAGCATTTGGGTGATTTTCGCCTTCCAAAAATAAACGGGTTGCGAGTTCTTCTCGACTCACTTGCACTTCGGCTGTTCATTGACATTTCAATATTGGTTCAATTTCAATATTCTGGCATAAGATTATTGTAAATTAATTTGATTTAAAGGAGTTCATTTTTTGCTGATAATGGTGATAGTGTGTGTTAAAATATTGGTATAATGATTAGAAGAAAAAAGGCTAAATGAATTTGGGAAATGATTGCGATCGTTGGTACTATCATATGCTATCATACCGTCGTACCGTCACCGGAAAATTATAAATTCTTAAATCGCACCAAGAATTTTGTTTTGCTCAGAATGCTATGTGTTTCCCTGTAGGTACCTTCCCGTGATGATGTTTTTTCTGATATATAATTATAAGAAAACAAAGCTGTCCATAGCCTTTAAATAAAGAGTTTGAGTGGCATAGAATTAATCGGACAATTCAAATTTCTCTTCTCTTTACAAAAATAGCAATTAGAAGATTAGTCGGTAAATTATGAATTTCTTTGGAAATTAGAAATAATTGTCAATAAAATAACTGGTCAAAATTAACTTTTCCTCTTTGATATTGAAGTTCCATTCCTTTAAAGGCTATTATAGGTATTGGCGAGTGGTATTGTTGCGTCGATTAGAAGATATTTATTGCCTTTTGATGGCGCCATATTTGTCATTGAAAATTAAATCCGATAGTGCTTAGAGGAAAAAAAGCGGTGCACATATACCATTCTTCAGCGAACGAATTGAAATGCATATTATACAATATTTTTACAACGCAAATATTACATAAATTGCAAATTATAATTTTAACCTTCGTCGATTAATAATTCAAAAATTTTTGCAAATTTTCGTTCCCTTAAGGTAAATTTAAGCAATGAATTTTTTTGATCACAACATCGCATAACTGTTTTTAAAATTATCCCAAAATTATTTTTATATTTCAAATTTTAACCATTTAATAAAACTATTAGAAAAATTTATTATTTACTATTTTTATTTTATTTTTATTGATTTGACTTTCACTTTGATTTTATCGACGATCAAGTGAAAGTCATTTTTTTGTGAGAGTTTTAAGCTCATAACAATTTTTCGCCATCCATAAAAAAAGAATTATTTTAATATTATTATTTCCTATATATACATTTGCCTTAAAAAAGATGTTAGGCTACTAGGCAAATATGCCAGAGAGTCGTTTGGCTACAGGGACACAGGTAAGATGCCAGCATCACTCGGATTTTTGGGTAGGTTGGGTTTACTTCTGCAAACAGTAAGACCTCAGCATCGGTGCTTCAAAATGACAATCCAATCCTTGCCCAATATGCCCAATCCTCTCAAAATGAAAAAACTAGAAAAAAATCAGGAGAAGTTTAAAAAATTATGATAATGACCTAAGCAGTAATAATTTAGAAAAACCACAAATTATTATCCGTGTTATGAGGGATGATATTTCAAACGTCGCTTAAATAGAATGACAAAAGAGCGAGGCGGTGGCAACAAATGAGCGACGTAGAGTATGAGACAATTTCTAAAATTTAATCCTCTTAAATCCAAAGTTTAAGTATTGTCGAGCTTTCTTTAGGTTTCTATACTCATTGGTAAGATATTTATAAGACAATATAATGATAATGGTATGTACGACTAAGCCGCAATGCTGTGTAGCTTCCTTGTAGGTACCTTTCGGTGATAATGATAACTTTTTCTCTTTGATATTGAAGTTCCATCCCTTTAAAGGCTATTATAGGTGACAACATTGGCGAGTGAGATCCGCAATTGCTACGCATTGTTTGGTTTCCGGCAAAAGTTAACGATGCCAATAAATCTAAACAAAAATTGAAG